AAAATTTTTATTAAAAAATTAAAACTCACCTGAATGTTTTTTCGCTAACGTGGGATATTTTATTGCTGATCAATCGCAGGGATTCGACTTGTAACGATCCAAAACTTTCATTTTCTATTATTTCCAATCCGGATGAAACAACATCTAAAAATAAAACTAATTTATGTGGAAAATCGGGGAGTTTAACAAAGGGTACTCCGACGCATGCAATATCTTTGAGGCTTTTATATGACATTTCGGGATCTGTTTTACACGTGCACATTGTATTGAAACTGCAGGGTCCGACTGTTTGTCCAAAAACTAATGCGATATGTACGAGAATCCAGGTCACGAGGATCATTTCCATCTGGAACAAAAAAAAATATTCTAAAAAATTCCAGTTTTTTACTATTTTTTTTCTAAAGTTTAAGACGAAACTTAGTTTTTTCCTCAACTAAATTTAAGCATACGCATTACCACGCACACACCGCACCCAAATTATTCCATTTATTCATTTTCCTTTACTTTTTTTTATATATATATATAAATAAAATCTTTTCAATTTATTTTCATTCATTTTCCGTGAAAATTTTCTTATTCTCGGATTTTCTTTTTTTTATATAGAAATTTAGTCAGAGCTTTAGGCAATTGAAATATTATACGGAAATCAAAAGGAAACGCTTTAAAGATTAATACACATAATCGTCTTTGCCTTGGGAGTAAAAACGTTCGAAATATAACCGTTCGTTCGTTCGTTCGCTTCTAGTTATATTGTTTCAAACGTTTTTTTTTCTTTTAAATCGCTCCGCACGCTTTTTTTTTTTTTTTATTTTAACCGTGCTTTCGAATTTCAAAAAAAAAAAAAATTTTAAATATTTAAAACCTTAAAATCTCTCTCTCTCTCTCTCGCTCTCTCTTTCGTTCATTTACATAAAAATAATAAATTAACACGGGTAATAATTTACTCTTGTTTTTCACGTTGGGATTTAACGCACACACACAGACGTTTTAGATTTTGTATTGAAATCAATAATTAAGACTGTTTGTGACGTATTTCCTGCTAATAACACTACGGGAGTGCTTCAAACATTTTCCATCTCTCTTCTCTTTATTTCTTCTTCCCCCCCTTTCCCTTTCCCTTTCTCTTTCACTCTCTCTCTCTCTCTATTTCACTCTCTTCTTCTTCATCTTCTCTCATTGTTTTATTCAACGAGGAGGAGAATTAAAAAAAAAAATACGATGTGTCATATCCATCCATTGTTTCAATAATTAAAGGTTTTTTCGTTTAAGGTTTGAAAGGTTTTTTTTTTTTTACCTTCGGAAAAAAATTAAAAATTTTCCCGCGTATCACGTGACACCTAATGTTTATAATTATTTATTATTATTTTTTTTCCTTTTAAGCGAGAAAAAATAATTTTTTTTTTCTATTTTAAAAATTTAATTCGAAAAAAAAAAAATTTGCTGTTGTTGTTGTTGTTATGATAGTCGTTGTTATTATTATTATTAATAAAGGTTAAAGGTTAAATTTATAAAATATTTATAACGTTAAAATAATAATAAGAAATTTATTTAAAATAAATGAATATAAATTTAACCTCGAATGTATAATTTTCCGCGAAAAGAAAAAAAAAAAGAAAAGAAAAAGAAAAGTTAACAAAGTCGTTAAGTGTTTTTTTTTTTTTTTAATAAGAAAATTCGTCCCAAAGGTATTAAAATCTTCTGCTGCTGTTGCTGCTGTTGTTGTCGTCTGCTCTCTACTATTGTAATTTTATTTACGATATTCTAATTTTATAATAAATGACGATAATTATTTTTACACTTTTACATTTAATGCTTTAACAAAAAAAAAAAAAAAAAAAAAAAAAACGATTTTTTTTTTCAATTGAAACATTTATAGCAGAAAGTTAATTAAGAAAAAGAGTTTTTATATATATTAAATTAACCGGAAATAGTTAAATAAATTTTTATAGACTATATACAAAAACTTTTATAGAAAATAATATTTTAAATGTTTGTTTTATTATCGTATCGATTCAAAATATTTATAGTTGATATTATATAGCGACGATAATTTTTCTAAGTAAATTGAATATATATATAAATATTTTTTTTACTATATTTAAAATTAATTTATCGATAAAATATAGCGAGAAATAATAATAATAATAAAACACTTAATTATATTGTTTATAACGAAAGTGTAATTAATTAACCGTAATTACAAAGTTTTTCTTTAAAAAGAAAAAAAAGAATTAAAAACTTTTCTTTTTTTTTTGGTAAATATTTAAAATAAGTTTTTTTTGTTTATTGTACAACACGCACGAATTAGTCATAAATGATATGATACTATAGACGTATTTATAGCGCTATAAGAATAAGTAAATTATTACGATTTATTTGTGTATTATTTTTTTTTAAACAAACATCGTACAACAAACAACACAGAGGAGAAACTTTTCATTAACGAGTGTCGACGTCAGTCAATAACCGTTAAATAAATTTATTTTGTATTTTTTATAGTCTATAAATTTAAATTTTACGTAGGTTTTAAAGACTATATATCTACTGCTATAAGACTGTATAGATCTATATCAAAAAAAAATTATTAATGTGGAGTATATAATGTTTTTTTAACGCGGTGAGAAAAATAATCGTGTTTAAAATGAAAAAAATAAAAAAATATAGCGCTATAAAAAAAAGAATATAGAATAAATGATAATAATAATGATTTTTAAGTATTAAAAAAGAAGAAAAGTTTTTTTTATATAAAAAATAGTTTCCATTAAATTTTTTCAGGGAAAGAACAAAAAAAAAAAAAAAACTAAATTTAAGTAAACATTTATTTTTAAAATTAAAGTTTTGACAAAAACTTTTTTTGTTGTTGTTGTTGTTTGGAACAAACAAAAAAAAAAAGGGAAAAAAAAGTTTATATTCGTCACACACCAAAAAAAAAAAAAAAAGAAAAAGAAGAAGAAGAAAAATTTACTTTCAGGTTAAGCGATGGACGGTTTGTGTTTGTTGGTGTCGCCAGTTATTTTTTCCTACTTTTAGTCCAACACTTCAACCCAGCATCCCTCTCTCGTCATTCCATGTGTCGCTTATTTTTACGAATTTTTTTTTTTGCCCCTCCTCCCCCATTTCTTTTCTTTTATATTAGATTCAAAAACCAAATCAAAACAAAAAAAAAGAAGGAAAAGAAAAACAAGAAGAAAAAGAAGAAGAAGAAAGAAAAGTTTTTCTTCTTGCTACTTTTTCTTTTTCTTTTTTTTTTTATTGAAATTGTTAAAGTTTGTATTATTAAAAATAGATTTTTGTAATAAAAACCAGATGTCGTCGAGTCAAAAATACTAGCAGAAGACAGTAAAAAAAATTAAATTTTATTTTTGTTTATTAATAAAAAAAAAAAAAAATAAGTAAACGTATGCAATTTTAAAATAACGATTTTTAATAATTAAAAAAAAAATAAGAAAAATTCGACCAATGAGAAAATTTTTGACGTTTTGAAATTTTTCTGTAACATCAGCAGCAAAATATTATCACGTGTACGGAAAAAAAAATTAATAATAATAATTTCTTTTTTCTTTTCCTTTTCCCTTTTTCCTTTTCTTTTTGTATTGCTGCTGTTGTTTAATAAAATAATATTTTTTCGCAATTAAAAAAAAAAAGTTTAAGAGGGAAAGAGAAAATAAAAAACAAAAAAAAAAAAAAAATTCATAATAATGAAATTTAAAACTTTTCCCTTTTTTATTTTTTTATTTTTTACTCTTTCATTTTCTTTCATTTCAATTCCCTCTCTCTCTCTCTCTTTTTTTTCCGTTACTTTGTACTCTCTTTCTCTTCCTCTCGTTTTCGAGGCAGCAGCCTTTTTTAAATTTTTTTTTTTTTTCGAGTAAAAAAGAAAAAAAAACCCAAGTAAATTTTCATTTAGCTATATAAAGGCGGGGAAAAAAAAATTTTTAAATAGCAAAAAAAAAAAAAAGTTTTTTTTTTTTATATATATTAAATCGCTTACATTAATTGCTAGCAAAAGAAATGAAGAAGAAAAAAAAAGAGAAAGGAGAGATGAAGAAGAAGATGAGGGAGAAAAAAGAAAAAGAAGAAGAAACCAATTTACATATTAAACGTTAAAAATACAAAATTAAAATATTTTTTTTTCTTCTTTTTATTTAATTCACCGAAACCGTCGTGTTTTTTTTCTTTTTGCTTCTTTTTTTTTTTTACTTAACATTTATCATTCTTCTTTTTTTTTGTCTCTCTCTCTCTCTCTCTCCTCCCTCCAACATCCTCTCCCTCTCTCTTCTTTTTTTTTTTTTTTTATTCCCATGATATTTGATAATAGTCTTTCTTCCGATTGCTTTTGAATACAACAACACATTATTAAAAACTTTTTTTTTTGTTGTTGTTGTTGCTGTTGTCGTTGTTGTTGTAAAAGAACATACAATTTATATTATTTTATTTCTTCTGCTTGTTTTCCCATCATAATTGTATTTTTTTTTTTTTATTGAATAAAAAATTTTGACTTAAATTTTTAAAAAATTTTTTTTCGGTCGGTTTTTTTTATTTATTTTTATTTTAAAAACGAGTAATAAATTTAAACGAGTTAATTAATTAATTATTATTATTATTACATTTTTATTACTTCGTTAATAATTTATTCGTTGAGAATGACAATCATAAAAAAAAAAAGAAAAGTTTTTTTTAGAGTATAAATTTATTAAACAAATTTCTTACATATGTAAAACACGTTTTGTTATTTTTTTTTCTTATTACAGCGTAACTAATGTTACGTCATCAATGATAATTAAATTATTATTATAATTTTTATAATTAAAAAATAAAATTACGTGTCAGGAGAATAATAATAATTATTTCAACGATTCTTTAACGATTCTTTCCAAACGAAGACAACAAGATATTTTTATATACGTATTATTTAATTATAAATTTTCACATAATTTTAATCATGTTAAAATTTTTAAGGGGTGGAGCCCTCCATCCTTTTTACGACAAATTTTTAATCAGGAAATGATAAAAAATTATTAAAGTTTTCTTATTATTATTATTTTTTGTTTTCCCTCCCTCCCGTTCTCGTTAAAAAACGAACGCTCGTCAAATAATAATGTGTTTAACGCGTGTTATAATAATAATAATAACGGAACATTTGCCATAATTTACGATCGTTTCAATTTCGGTTGTAATTTTTTTTTTTTTTTTTTTTTTTACCTTGGCCGAAAAATAATTAATTTAATTTTTTATTATTTTGTCTTCCTTCTTCTTCCACTTCTTCTTCTTCTTTTTCTTTTTCCTTTTTTTTTTTTTTATTTATGAGTTTTCTAAGAAATAAAACAATTAAAAGTTTTCAAATCA